TATTCCAGCAACCAGTGGATCACATTTTTTAAAATGTGTTTTCTTTTATAGACTGAGGAGGACAAGAAGAACATTAACAGGCTGCAGGATCTGGTTGACAAGCTGCAGCTCAAGGTGAAGGCCTACAAGAGGCAGGCTGAGGAAGCGGTAAGGACCACACACAGAAAAAAAAACCCTCAACTCTATGTCAGATTTTAGTTTTGTGCAAACAAACTGTCATTGTTTTGGACACTAAGAAATTTTGACTTATTACAATGTTACAGGAGGAGCAGGCCAATGTCCATCTGTCCAAGTACAGGAAGATCCAGCATGAGCTTGAGGAGGCCGAGGAACGTGCCGATATTGCCGAGTCCCAGGTCAACAAGCTGAGAGCTAAGAGCCGCGACTCTGGCAAGGTAAATGTACACGCACTTTAGACTTTGCACAAAGTTATAAGAAGAAATATCCCAATTCTGCTTCGAATTTCATGAAGTTGGCTACAGACAATAATTTGATTTGTTTTCACTGAATGCTCCGTTTTTATACACACTGACCCATATGTACTGTTTTCTTTTGTTCTACAGGGAAAAGATGCAGCTGAATAAAGCACACGTGTGAACTGTGCATTTCTAATCATATAATATGATGTGAAATACACTCCAATAAAATATTTTTTATCTCAATTTCCTGTCTGTGATATTTTCATAGTAATAAACAAGAGAGTAAACATGACACACGGGTAATCTGAGTGCTAATGAATCTTTACTGAGGTATCCTGCATTCAGTTATTAATTTAGGCATGAATACATAGAAGTGTATCTCAATTAACATCTTAGGACTTTGAGCACAAACAACTCAGAGCGAAGATACTCCAGAGGGACTCGTGAACGTAGATAAGAAGTTAGAGACAGTGGTTTGGGAGGGAAAAAAACCATCTGCACTTAAAGAATCAACATGAACATAAATAAATAGGTAACATTAATAACTTCATTCAAAATGCATTCTTGTGTATTTTAAGCTTTTTTTGTAATCCAGTGCTCTAGCTTGAAAAACATACCCCACATAATTAGTTTCAAATTCAGCAACAGAATGTGTGCAGTGAAAAAAAGTGACACACAGAGTTTGAGAAGAATGTTTAACAAAGAGCTTATTTTACTCATTGGATCACATTTTAAAAAGAGCCTGGCTTTTTGCATAACAATCATAATGAGGATTCAAAAGTAATCGTTACTGTTCGTGAAGCACATGCTAGCTGAATGAGACTGACATAGCTAAAATGAAAGCAATACAACACTGTACCTGTATATTACTCACCTGACCTTGGGTTTTTGCTCTTTGCTGTGTGGATATTCTCCCTGGTTTCCTAAACTTTTGTCCAATCATGCTCAGCTCGTTTCTGGCTTCTTTTTCTTTTCTCATTAATGGATTGGCTGATAAAGCATCCTGCCTGACAGCCTAAAAAAGGAGACTTAAAAGCAGAAGCAAGTCTTTTAAAACATGTATTCAAAGTTTGTTTTTTTTTTTTAACTTTCTCCATTTTTGGTAACTTCAATTATTGGGATTAGTCAACTGGAAAATTCAAAGAAATTATGATGGTGCTGATATTCCATGTGTGGCTTTGTGCAATCACTTCCACTTAATCACCTTATTTCAAAGGTACATATTCTATACTTTTTAAAATTTGCGGTAATTACTTTAATTATTTTCTGTCCAGTCACTTTATTTTGCTATTTTGTAAACTTTTCATTAATGTATGTTTTTATTTCATACTTAAAATGTAACTGTAAATGTAATTAGTATTTCACACACTTTGTCTTCGCACACAGTCGCCCGCTTTATTTATCATTTATCATCATTCATGTGATATCATTTATCACACATGCGCACAAATGGCGCACTCTAGCCACAGAGCAGGGTGAGGACATGTTGATTATCAGGAGAAAAAGTCAACGTACTTGTAATTTCAGTGCTTTTAAGCACTTATTATTTAAATTATTCACTTGTGCTGGAACCTTCATACAAAAAGAGTGATATGCAGAACACTCTTTTTTATAGCAGCATTGCCATTCTGCTAAAAATGATATCACGTTAATCATGGCTTAATACTCCAATAACATTATTGTGACCGTTACCAAATTATGGAATTTATTAAGGATTCATAGGAAGTTTTAAACAACTGCATTCTACATTGTGAAGTTAATGTCTCATATATTACATTTCATAGAATAAATTGTGGATTAAAAGATACACATTGTATAAAAAATAAAAAAGCAACTAATCATCATAACTGTGGCATTCATAATTTTTTCGAGTCCTCTCGTACTGATCTAGGTACACGCTAATTACATGTAGATAGCAACAAGTACAGTTTCTGCTTTAGCAACCAAAATAAACATTTAAACCAACAGTTCGTCGATAATGCCTCTCATAAACTGAGTAATGAGAGTAATGTTAGTATGGCATTGAGAAAGTGGAGCATTGTTACAAACGGTAACTGTAACAGCATCACATGTTTACCGTTGAGTAGCAGTAAGTACGGAGAGTAATAAAGTTTTCTGTCACTGTGAGATCAGGAGGACAAGCATGTCTGGTCTTTACCTCGGCAAGTGCAGATGCCTGAACAGTCTGATACACATGCTTTCAGGGTAAAAACATACAAATACAACCATCCATGATGATAGCGTTGGTTCTGCTGTGATTCAGATCAGTAGGCCATGCCACTTTG